TTAAGGTTGGTTTCCTTAAGTGTGAGTGTTAGGTTCTAGTATTTCATTAAGTGTGTTATATCTTAATTGAAATCTAGATTTCAACCCCAAGAAAGGATAAGAGTGTGTTATATCTCTTAGACCTCCTTGGTTTATCCCCGTTACTAAAACACTTCCTTTTTTGTTCCTTGAAACTGCCCAATAATCGATTACCTGCTTGGAATAATCGATTATCCACTCACAAGAAACATCTGCAGTCACCAATAATCGATTTTCATATTTGTGTAAATCGACTATCAACCCCTTCAGAAACTCTCCACCAAATCCTTTGAGAAACTGAACCCTTCCATAATCGATTATCTCTTTAGGTAATCGACTATCACTCCTTCTCCATCTAAAACCACTGTTTTTCCTCAAACAACCTACGCCCAGATCCAACACATGATGTGTGACTGTCACACCAAATTTGGTGGGTAAGCTTTCAAGGTAACTAAGGGGCTGTTTGGCAACTTCTGAATAGGTAAGTGCTGAAGCAGTAATAGGTCTGAACCATTAAGTGCTGAACTAGTAAGAGGTCTGAACCATTAAGAGCTAGTATATTGCTTAACTATTCAGAGGCAAATGTCTGATCAATTCAGATAAGAGGTCTTAACCATTCAGACTCTGTATAATACTTAACCATTCAGAGGCAAATCTCTTAACCATTCAGACATCTGAACCATTAAGAGGCTGAAACAAACAGTCTGAACCATTAAGTGCTGAACCATTCAGACATCTGAACCATTAAGAGGCTGAAACAAACAACCCCTAAAAGATATATGCACAGAAAGCACATACTAAGAAAATGAAGTATAGAAAATTAGAAATTCTTGCAAAACAAATGAGGTATTAATGTATGTTTAAGAAAATAGATATCTCAGAAGTTGGAACTTTGTATTTTGTTCCAAAAAAAAGGAAGCAATTGAAAAAAAACATAGAATGCCATCTCGTATGACAAAGAATCCTGAACGTCGCAATGTCTCTCTTCATCATTTCATAGCATAAAAGCATGACAAAAGACCAAAGAAATGAAAAAAACAAATTCGAAAAAAAAGGATGCGACCTATACCTCTGGCATTCCATTTAAATTGACAAGAGATGTAAGCAGAGAAGCATCAAGTTGGAGACCTTTAGCATAAGTTGCTGATAGTTGAGGCAAAGAATTAAACTTCAAAGTTATGCATTCTTGAATCCCAGAGCATACAGAACGAAACTTTTCCTGCATGCAAAAAGGAATGCCCAGTGAAAATATATGATTAAGAAAAAATCATTACATCACAGGCAGTACGCAAGTACCTGTAATTTCTCTTGCTTCGCACGCATCAAATGCAACTTCGCCTTCTCATGCACAACTTGGCACAAAAGCAATTTCAATTCAGCTGTCCTGCTACAGCATTTTACGGATGTTTTAGATTGAGCCAAAGATATTATTCACCGATTTCACCCAATCTGTAAATCACCTTTTCTCTAGAAGATTTTGATGGGCAGATTTTTTCTGGAATATATAGAGAAGATCACATCAATAACTGAAATAACATGAAATTCATAAAAGCACACATTTGTTTATCATTTTCATATTTTCTAAAAAAAGTGTACCATATGTGCAGACCTGAGAGAGAAGTCCATGGTGCAATAACTCATATTTTTTTGACTTGTACATGCGATTCATGAAATCTTGTAGAACGTCAATCTACAACATAAAAAATAAAACATAACTTTTCACTAGATAATATGACTAGGGAAAAAGATACATTGCCTAAAGAGCACAACTTGAAGAGTGCATTAAAATTGATGCAATAAACATTCACCTAAAATCTAAGTATCTAACTATATTAAAAATGAAGCAATTACTAGAATTGAAGATAACTTTACGTTATAATGTAAAGAAAGAACAGGATACCCCATATACACTAAGTTTCTCTGTTGGCAAGAATTCCCATTTATCTACGCTCTCCATGAATTTTGACTTCACCTGCAAGGCAAGACACATTTTATTTAGTAAGAAAGATACTGCAAATGATACTCCATATATTTTTACAAGTTATTCAACTTTGACAGAAGTGGCACTTGCTATTTGCCTTTTCAACTACCAAAACAAAAACACATACATACATACATCTGCCCAATATTTAAGTTCAGAAGGTTTTACACTGCAAGTTTCATCGGGACATTTTGAGATATCCAGGCCTTGATATTTTTGTAGTTTTGGACTCCTTTGCAATGTGATAATAGCATCCTGACTATCCCTGTGCTCAATCAGTAATTCATTTTTTCTTTTATCACCTGAAATATTAGTGGATCCACCAAGAAACCTTGGTTTTCTGCCTGGGCTAAACAGGTAATCTTGGAACGACGGTGAAAGTTTTTCCAATGATTTTCCTGGAGAAAAATTAATGCAAGGAGTAGTAGATGCTTGCTTTTCTCCTACACATTCAGCTGGGAGGGAATCTCTTTCAGAAGTAAAAAACATCTCTTTAGGGTCCTCTGATATCAATGGACTATGCATTTTTCCTGATCAAATAAAGGGGGATGTGAGAGGAGTCCGTAAGTGATCAATTATAGTGGTATAGCTCTATATATTAATACCCCCCCTGTCCCATAATAAACTTAATAGTTTGACTTCAAGGAGCTTAAGGAAAGTATTCAAAAATGAAAAGTGTGGTTAAAATTTGTTAAGAAGAGGGAAAAGTACTATGAGCCGCACATTCTTTTCAAAGGTAATAGAGAAACTGTGAAACTTATTTTGGGACGGAGGGAGTATACATTATCTCAAGATTTTCCATCCTTTACCCGTAGGGTTTTCACTACTAGTCCTACCTTCATAATGTGCCAAAGCCGTGAGACCATTTCCATCCTTGCGGAATGCATGTCTTTTCTGTCCCTCTATCTGAACAATATTTGAGAATTGCTCGTCTTCAGAAATGCTTGGAGCACTCACAAACTTCTCTTTGACTTGTTTAGCATTGACTTTTCCCATGTTAGAGCTCAAAGGAGGTGTTTTTGTAAAATTAAAAGATATAACAGGCACATCAAGCATTCCGTCACCCAAGGCAGAAGAAAATGCAGAGGCCCTGAGCCTTTCAAGTTTCGAAATGCTTTTTTGAATGGATGCGGAGCTCACCAGAGATCCCGTATTCTCTTTTTCGATAAAGGGATCTTTTTGAGAACAAATTACCGTAGAACAATATTTTTGTGCATTACTTACTGCATGCATCGGACTCCTCCAGATAGGTGAAGGTGATACAGCCCCTGTCAGCGGAGATTTCAATTGGGGAGAGATGTCTTTAGGAATATGAAGATTCAATGGGGAATCATAATTCACTGAAGTAAGATTCTTAGTTCTCCAAACCTCAAAAGCATCTGTAGAAGCCGCCATACTGTAACCAACTAGTTTCTCCTGAAAATAGAAAAACAAAATTTTCCTGCTGAAAACAAAACAGTTTCAAGATAGATAATGATCTGATATCTTCTTGTCATCCTACTATCTAACAATGTTACAATGATATTACCATAGGATCAAATGAAGAGATTAAGTAAAACTTGTTTGAAAAAAAATAATCACTGCAGCATTTTGAACACCCAGCATAATAGTAAGGGAATATCGGGTTGAAACCATTGCTTATTCCTATATACATATTTAGCTTTGAAGCCACTTCTATAGGGATTAGTCCATGGCCTAAAAAGCCGAATTAATGTTGAAAGTTTGGAAAATGTGTGGTGTTAGTAATTCCCTGAATCCATGAAGAAAAAACTACTTTTGGCATTTAGAGAGAAAGTCTGAGTGGACCAGGTCGTTGTAGCTTTGTACTTTGTACCATAGTGCTGTATTTAACGCCTTCACTTAATCACTCATTCTTATTAATATCATCCCGGACCCTAGGTGTTCCCACCTAGGTCTCCTTTACTCATTATTTGGTCTATTAGCCCTTCCCCAGTCTGGCTCAGCCAATCCTATTTTAATTTACACTATCACCATGCATTCAAACACAACTGGTTAACTGGCTATGAGTCAGGCTCTTACTTTACTAAATTTATTAGATAACAAAGCTTTGTTATCAACTGAAATGCCTGAATCTGGAGGATTGGATGGAGAAACTGATGAATCAAGGGGGGCATGAGCATATACTGAATCAGATGGCATATGATGGATACCAGCAACAGCTGCATCGTGCTTACAACTCTCATCAGGACCCATAGTGCAACTTTCATCCTCTTTTGCTGATAAATAATCGGATTTCTTGTTTCTAGGCAATGCTGAAGCGCTGATATTATCTGATAATGAAAACATATCTATTTGATGTTGACCTTCTGCTAGAAGTGCATTTAAGTCGGGTGACAATCTACCATAATCATACTCCTGTGAGTGTTCACCAATCAGACTCATATCACTTGAATCACTTTCTCCACTAGCATTAACAACAGGTAATGAGGAATTCAAAATTGACTTCTTTGTTACGGTGAGGACCATAGAGTTTCCTTGAGTGCATTCTGGTGTTTTCTCTTCACCAAAAAGATGTGTGCCAGGTGGGGTCTTCAAGTCTACCCCTGCCTCTGATCTAGCAAGGCTGCGAAAATGCATGGAGAAAGCTGTTGAATCCATGGTAACTTCATGATTATCTTCTGAAACAGCTGAATCTGATAGTCTTCCAGGCCTTATAAAACTGGGTGATACCGGACCGAAAAATTGTTCTGATTTGAATTTAAAAAAGTCAGCCAAAAGCAATGCAATAAACAACTGGCCGAAATATATTATTTAATACTCTGTATAAATCAAATCTGTTGTAAAGGTATTTTTTGTCATTTCAATTTATGCCCCTACGGTCCCACACCCTCCTGGGTAAAGATGTTGAATTGAATAAGTGTATACAATAACAGAAACTTAAGGTGGTCAAGGAATTATAAGTACTCATTTTTTCTTCTCTACACAAAATATCAATGTTTTCTTGTCATGGTCACTATTGGCCTTTTGCATTTTGGCTCTTTTGAAGCAACTACGGATTACTTTTGGCATATCCAATTACTATAGTATAAAGAGATTCATACAATAACTGGTGCATAACACAGTGTAAGCAAATAAATAATTCATAATTTCAAAACACTTGGTCACAATCTGGGGTGGTGCTAAAATATCTCGGTCCTTTCATGTCTAGTACAGTTTGGAATGATTCTTTTGTGCGAAAAGGAAAAATGGGATTCATGAGAAAGAAATTAATTCATAAGTTCAAAACAATTGGTTACGATCTGTGTGTGGTGCTAAAATATTTTTGCTCCTTTCATCTCTAGCATGGTTTGGAATGATTCTTTGGTGTGAAAAGCAAAAATGGGATTTATAATGAATCCTACAATAGGTGTCTCATATAATTTATTAAATGACAACTATAATGCTCAAAAAAATTCATCAACACAAGTCTTACACAGCTTTATTCATTAAACTCATCACACTTATTAGCCTCAACAACAACAAACAACAACATTACCCCAGTGCCTCAATGGCTCCCGCCCATTGCAGGGTAAGGGAGGTCGGATGTACACAGTCTGACCCCTAATGACCCATGATGAGCGTCGAAAGTTGCATTGACTAACTACTACTTCACAATTGCAAGAAGCGCAAAGAGTTTAAAGAGCCAATTTGCTTTATTCCATCATACCCCAAAGCCAAAAAATAGTGAATCTTTAGCTCCATAGGGAAATGGAAATACTTATTAGCCTCATTTCAAGAAAAGTATTTTTATTTCACAAAACTTATTGATGAAGTTGAAAACAAGTCATTGATATGATTCTTGCAAATTTGGAAAAGTTGGTGTACACCTGTCCTAAATATAATGTCACACTTTCCTTTTGGAGTGTCCCGTTTTATAGTCCAATTTCCTAGAGTTCTAAAAATGAGTGGACCAAAACCAAAATAAAAATGTTTGTTTCTTAAGTGCTAACACTAATAAAATGAGATGACCAAAAAAAGATATTTTTCTTAACACTTGTGCAAAAATAATTTGGGACATTATCCTTGGGACAGAGGGAGTGTATAGCTACCCCAACTGAGCATTCTGTTGTCCTTTTTTTCAAAAACATGTGTTCATTACTCTATTCATCCTTTAACCTCAATTTATTGAGACACATGGAATGAATCATTGATGCTCTTCATTGATCAATTTTTTCTCTGCCAGGTAGAGCTTGTGTATCGTACATATCTGGATCAATATATTTTTTGCATCTTCATTTTAAAAAAGAGTTACATACATTATTAAACGTTGATTTTCTCTTATTTCTTCAAAATATGAAGTACATTCCAACACATATTCTCTTTCTAAACAACTAATTCACTACATTTTCTTTTAGTCACGTATTTCAACATGTCCATGCCTTATGGCCAACATACAAATATGAAGTACCACGGGCATCCTTAAACAAAAGCTCAAAACCATTTCTAGGAATAACAAAAGCATTTACCCCCTCAATCCTAAAATAAGAGTCCATTTTCCGAACTTATTTTTTGTCTCCAAAAAATAGTCCCATTTGAACAAAAGAAACGCATTTTGATCATATTTCATACTCCCTATTTTGTACAGGAAATCATACAAAACCATTTAATTGTGTTAAATTTCGTTAAACCATCAATCAAATTAAAAAGTAGAGCTTTATTTGTGATTTCTTATAGCTGTACCTTACAAACAATCAATTTAATACCGTAAACTACAGGCAAACAAGAGAAAAAATGCATAATCAGCAGAAAAACAAGAGAAGGGTGTGTGGACTAACCATTATTCGAGGTAGCAGAACCAAATGTACTACCAGGAGAAGGAGACTCCATGGGCCTTAGGAACGATCTCCCCAATGCAGGCTCTCCGTCCTCATCTTCATCACTCACATTCCCGTCCTCTTCTTCATCCCCATCGTCGTCCCTTCTTGAATTGTCCAATTGATGGAAATTCAGCTCGTTCACTTGAAATCCGCTTCCATCACCCGCCTTAGCTAGGGCTTCCGGAGGCGTCTCCTCCTCGTCGCGGTCGAAGAAATGGACGGAAGTCGTCTCCGCGAAGCTCACTCTCCGCTCCTTCTTCTTCTGCATAGTTAAAGCTGTACCGCAGCCGTCCTCCGACGTGGCTGTAAGGCTGAGTTGGTGGTCCTGGTCGCCGGCGGTGGCTCTAACCATAGAAGACATGGCGAGTAAAATTGAATTGCCGGTAAACGGAGTGAGATAATGGAAGAACCGGAAGGAAGGAGGATTTGGAAATTGAAATATAGATGTTGAAACTTGAAACGAACCGAGGCTGTAAACCCGAACCTGCTTGGGCCACAAAATCCTACCTTAATTACTTCATCCGTGGAAAATATTTTTCCAACTTTTCTTTTTTACTCTTCCAAAAATATTATTCTCATTTTCCTTTTTTAAGGATAAAATTTCAATAATATATTTCTATTTTATTAGTAATATACTTTTTTATTATTTTTTTAATAAGAAAAGGAGATTTAAAAGTTTATAGTATGTATATTTTTAGAGATTTGGCACTTTTTTTATTACTCTTTAATAAACGTGTCAACACGGGAAGAACATTCTCGGACGGAGGAAGTATTTGTTTTTTTGACGTAGCCTAAATTATTTGATCATTATTATCAAATACTCCGTAAATAATACTCGTATAAACAATATACCACTCAATATACATTACATATAGGACGACAAACGATCGCCTATAGGGAGTTAAGGACCTGGTTCCGGGAATGGAGCCGTATGAGGCGAGAGTCTAACGTACAAACATATTGTTCCTTTGGTATCCAAAATCATATTGAAATGGATTAGAACCTCGGTATATATCACTTCCTTCGTCCCTAGCATGTTTCGTATCAAACTTCGTTCACTTTAGTTCTTGATTTTCGTTATTCATTTCATAAAATAATAAATTATCATGTCACATCTTGTTTTGTAAAACTTTTGATGTAATTTTTAAATAATTTTTAAAATAATACATCCAATCAAACATCATCATAAATCGCCAGACGATTTAAAAAATTGGGACGGAAAGAGTACAACATAAAATTATTTTCATCAATAATGTGACAAGTTTAAGATGAACTATAGTTATGTTAGTTCGTTGGATTTCAAAAGCACTTATAAAGTTGCACATTATAGTACGTATTTCATTGCATTCATACAAAAATAAGTTCCACATTCGATCATATAAAATTCTAGGGATGAGAATCAAAAAGGAAAATAAAGACCGTCATCACCCACGAGCGGTTTTAGATTTTCAGATGGCCTTCGAAAGACTCGTGATTGGAGGTTGTAATAAAGTAGCCTCTTCCCGTGCTTGTGTTCATCTGCCACGAAAACAAGTTCTTTGTCGCCGTTTGTCGATAGCGTATGAGCCGAGAACGAGGCTGCAGCACGTGGCAAGTTAGCTGATATTCCCCTCCAGCTTGAGGACGAAGAAGATTCCACGACCGTGATTGTTCCATTGATATTTTTCTTCAAACTGAGAATACAACATCCTAATGCATGTGATGATGATGTACGAGTGTACGACTAATATTATTCGAGTCGTCCTAAACATACCACGCCACGATCTTGTGCTCCTCTCCCTGGGGTTGGTATCCAAAACCCACATTGAGAGCTGAGACACATTGCAAATGTATCCCAGCAAGTAAGGAAGTTTAAAGATGTATCGTGTGGTGGGACTAAATAATGCATCGTTACGGATGTCTTCCTTAAAGAAAGACATCGTTAAGGTCGAAGACATCGTTAGCGCGTTGTTGTTGATGTCGACATACTATCACGAGCTGGTAAGGCGACGAATTTTTGGGATAATACCGGTTGCATAATGCGTGTAACAAATGGAACCATTCTTTGGAGACGCACTTGAATCGAAGAAGGGATTTTCGAGGAAGCTTTGATAGTTTAAGCATCATTATGTCTTCATGTGGCAACAAAACATCATTTTCAATGTGCTGCTTCTTTGTTGTAGTCATCTTCATTAGTTTTACACATTGGTTTATATTAGTTACGCTATTCAACCAAAGTACGGAGTACTTTTTTGTTGTTGTTGAGAAACCACAACCGAAGTACTTAATTATGAAACATAATTAAAGTTAGAAGTCGTTTGAACGGAAAATTGAAAAATACTTTTCTTTTAAAGCTAAAAACATGGATAACCCATATGCAACCGTGAGCAACAATAACAAATACGAGTAAAAGTTAAAAAATAATCACTTTTAGAGCACTGGTAATGGTTATGAAGCCCCGGGGCTTCAAACCGGGGCTTCAAACTTTCTCTCTCTGCCACGTCAGCTTTAACTTACACCCAAAATTCACTGGAAATGGGTTTGAAGCCCCGGGGCTTCAAAACTGGGCTTCAAACCTTCATTTTTTACATTTTTAAATATACATCTTCTAAATTTAAAATAATAAAATGTAATTAATTTATTATTTAATTAAATTGAAACACGAATAATAAAAAAATACATTCATTAAATAAAAAAAGCGTCAATAATTTAAAAAACGATACATTAATAAAAAAAACTAAGGTAAATTATATTTCTCCTTGATCTCTCTCATTCTTTGCTCATAGATCATTCGTCCAAACTCCGACAACGTCCCGGGGTCGGGTTGCATGACTTTCATCTCAGCCTCCTGCTCCTTTAGCTTCAACTCCTTCTCCTTTAGCTTCAACCTCTCTTGTTCTTGGAGATTGAACGCCCGAAGTTGTTCAATCATTGCCCGGCCGATTTCGTCGCGGGGAAAAGCGGAAACAGAGCGGACCCTCCCGAACCCGAGGCAATGGATTTTGCCTTCTTTCTTCCGATCGGCCGTGGAATGGGGTCCTCGTCATCGGAATCCGCAACGTAGAAGGGAGGGATTTGATCGCTAGAACCGATAGTCTCGTCGACCTCAACCTCGGCGTCGACGATGGATCTATTCCGGAACGATCCGCCGTCGGGATTGTTGAGTTGTTGCCACTTCGGGGAACGACTCAAAATCCTCCAAAGATCGATGGGCACCTTGCCTTGGTTCCCGTCGTCTTGATATCGGGTCGTGGCAAGCCGGAGAACATCGGCGTCGTTCGTGCCGCTCCTCCGGGACCGGGAGCATCCCCCGTAAACTCCCATAAACTTTTGGACTTTTTTGTTGATGTGGCTCCATTTGGAAGTGAGTTGGTCCCGGGTTCGGTAGGAGCCGTCCTTCTTCATCGCCGTGAAGAACTTCTCCTCGATACGATCCCACATCGCATCCTTCGTTTGCTCCGTACCTTTAAAAATGTATTACACAATTTTTTTAGACACCATTAAATATAATATATAAAAATAAAAACATAAATATATTACAAAAAATAAATTTTTAACCAATGATAGGATGCTCGGAGACGTCAACCCAAGCCGACGCCAATATGCACTCCTCCTCCGGCGTCCACTTTTGGATTGACCGTGCCGCCTCGGTCAACNCGGACGGTTCCGGTTGAGTCTCCGGAACCGAATCTCGGTCGACGTACCCCGACTGTTGCGTGTTGTACATCGGCGGTCGATCGCCCAACTCTTGGTAATACCACATCGCGGCGTCGACGGGCGGGAGATCGTCGGGAAAGAAGCCGGAGCCGGAAGGATTCATGTTGAAAATTGGGAGGGGGGGTTTGAATTTTGAAATTTAAAAATAAGAAAGAGGAAGAGATTGAAGAGAAGGTGTGAGAGATTGGTTTGGGGGGGTTGAATTTATAGGAAATTTTTTTTTTTTTTGAAATGTGGGCTGCAACGGCTTTTTTAGCCGTTAAGAGGGAGCCGCGCAAGAGTCACGCCGCGTCAAACGAATGATGCAGGCGCCCTCACGCCCGTTTCACGCCGGCGGGGGGCGGTGTTTCACGCCCCCGTGGCGTTAAACGCCCCGTAACGCCGGTGGGCGTGAGGGGTATTACCAGTGCTCTTACATGATTATTTTTGGAAACATTATTCACCCCAAATACTCCACCCGTGCTAAAATATTTTTCCTGTTTCTATTAACTAAGTTTGACCGAGTTTATTTTCAATTCAATTTATTTGATTAAAAAAATATAAAAATTTAATTTTTTATTTAAAAACTATATAAATAGTTGTACAAAACAAGAGGTGACAAGACTATATCATTTAATTAAATAACTAATGAAAATAGGTAAAGAAAGTCATTAAAATTTACTGTGTTAATAGTAATTGAGAAGAACGTTTTAATATAACAGAAGTAACTGATACTACGTGTGCTGTACTCCCTCCATTCTTTTTTAATTTTCTTGTTTCGTATTGTGTGCCAAACGTTCGACTAACCATATATAAAAATATGCATTGAGGTAAAATATAAAAATATACCAAGTTATTGGTATATACTCCCTCCGTCCCAGTTTATTTGTCCATTTTGACTTTTTCGAGTCAAACTGAACAAACTTTGAGCTTCAATTAAATAAAAACAGTAATGTATTTTAACATCGGAGGTGTTCCACAGCCACTGTAAACGAGTGGCTTCCCAAGCTACTATAAATCTCCACCCTCCATCTCTTTTAATTTTAAATCAAAGGCTCACAATTTTTCATCAACAAATAAACCTCAAAATTAACTCCTCCTTCAGATCCGTCTATCTCTCACGATATCCATCCTCACATCTGTCTCTTTTCTCTCTCTCAACAAAGACAGCGACGATAAGCTCGGAGCCTAACCGACGAAATCTATTGCCCGTCAGTCGCCAGCCCTACCGCAACCCTTTAACACTTCGCAGGTACGATGCCTTCCATGGAGGTGACGAACGACTTGCGCGCAGAGCTTCAATCGATGCGAGGTAAATGTTTTTGCACATATAATTAATTTGTTGACTCAAAATTTGGATTTCAATTTTAATATGGAATGAATTTAAAAGAGGTTAAATTAATTTCTTGCTGAAGAAAGATAGGAAAGACAGTACATTGTTTGCCAAATGTTTACTAAATCAGTAGGTTACTGATATGAAAGACAATAGGTTAAATTAATTGGATTTCAATTTTAATATGGATTTCAATCTGTTATTTTCACTCAAATTGTTTGCCAAATGTTTACTCAGACTTTGTTTTCGATTTTTTTATTGTTGTTGTATATTGTTTCAGCATCGTTGAAGCCATAAAGTGTACTGTGTAGACTCATACTCTGCTTCATTCCAAGAAAAAAATTCAATTTTAAAAGGTAAGAAAATCGAATAGCATAGCGAAAACAAATGTTAAAGGACAAGGGTTTGCAGACACAAAAAAAACAAACTTGAAGGATTAACAAAACAAAGATAACAAAATTCGGTTTCTGCTTATTTTGAATAAAAGTTCAATGACATAAGGGTTTGCAAAAAAACACAGAGCTTTATGGGAAATCTAATACTTCCTCCGTCCCAAATTATTTGCAACACTTCGAACGACGTGCAAAATATCATCTCTTTTAAAATCATTATATTTTCAAATTGGTAGAGTAATAAAAAGTAAAAATTACACCATTCAAAAGTATATGAAAAGTTCTACAAAAACAAGATGTGACAAGAATATTTTATTTTATCAAATGGTCAACCAAAACGAGTAAACAAACAAAAGTTATCGAGAGGCCAGAATAGTAACTGTGGCATTCTTTCTGGGACGGAGGAAGTAGCTTTATGGCCCAAAAAAATCATTCTTCAGGAATGACTTTATCGCAAATGGAAAAAATCATTCTTGAAGAATAATGGTTTATCGCAAATGGAAAAAAATGGATGTACATTTGAGGAATAATTTAAAATTTGTAGTTTTTAGGATATTTAATGGAAGTAAATTTTTTCTTAATGAATGAAAAGAAAACTCAAAACATTTCAGCCATGGAAGGCATCGTACCTGCGAAGTGTTAAAGGGTTGCGATAGGGCTGGCGACTGACGGGCAATAGATTTCGCCGGTTGGGCTCGGAGCTTATCGTTGTTGTCTTCGTTGAGAGAGAGAAAAGAGAGGGATGTGAGGATGGATATCGTGAGAGATATACGGATCTGAAGGAGGAGTTAATTTTGGGGTTTATTTGTTGATGAAAAATTGTGAGCCTTTGATTTAAAATTAAAAGAGATGGAGGGTGGAGATTTAGTGGCTAGGGAAGCCACTCGTTTACAGTGGCTGTGGAATGCCTCCGTTTTAACATAAAAATGACTTTATTGGATTTATCGTATTGAGAACTTTCAAAATTGTATTTCATTATGCTAATATGCAATATTAATTGAGAGTAATTGGAGTTCATAGTTTGTCCAGTTTGACTCGAAAAAGTCAAACTGGACAAATACACTGCGACAGATGTAGTATAAAAATTATTTTTCATGTACTATTTTTAATAATTTTTTGCTAACATATTTTAAGAAATATTATTGTTTTTTGCACTATTAAGAAATATTATTAGTCAAACATTAAATTTGAAATACGAACAAGACAAATAAAAATGAGTGGAAGGAATACTCCGTAATGTTTTAGCTAGAGTTAGAAATGGTTTGAATTGAAAAATAAACTCATGTACCAAACTAATCCATAACCGCGCAATTAATTTAACAATAATGTAACATATGTACTCAAAGAGAAGAAAAATTACGATGTTACATAAACTATAAAACAATATTTCATGCTTTGTAATAATATTTCTTTTGTCCCACAAAACAATTTATGTCTTGACTTTTAGAAGGGGAAGGAGTTGTTTGATGAAAGTAAAACGATGACAATTGAAAGGAAAAGGATTCGAAAAATGTCAAAATAAGTAGATACATGTGGAAAGTAGTTTGGATAAATTTGGTTCAGAATTTTATAAAGGTAATGACCATCGTGGCAATTTAGGCGAAGTTAAAAACTAAAACTACACATTTAAAAATTATATTTAAAAAAATCGACAAAAACTTGAAGTGATGGCTATGTTATTTTAACAAGTAAGCAGCTGAAATATGCCAATAAAATGAATAATTTTTGACCTTTTGATAGCGAATGATTTTAAAAATATTTGAACAGATAAAATGGAACCATGCTAGGTGTACACAAAATGAAAAACAAAATTGAATTTGAACCATACTAGTTGTAAACCAACCAATGCATAAAAAATACTAGTACGATCTTAAAAAATTGGGACTAAAACATCTTGCGGCAATGTGAATCATCAAAATGTAGATGCACACTCAAGGTCTGTTGCGTAGGACTTATTTTTTCTACTTATTATTTAGTCTGATTAAAATCATATCAGATTAGACCCAATCAAATCAAACCGCATCCAATTAGATCAGATTTAATCAGATTAGATCAGATTCAATTAGATCGGAACTTTAAAAATTCAAATCAGATTTAATCACATCAGTCCTACGGAAGACATCCTTAATTGATTAAATTCGATGGGGATTTTTGCTTTAGGGGAAATTATAATATGCTCCGTGCTTTGAGATACAATAGGCTACTTAGATACGGAGTAATTTTCAACACAGATAATTTTTTACTGTGGGTAGGTAGTAAATAATTAGAGACTAGGAAGAAAAAAAGAAAAGGATTTACCCAGTCGGGAAAACCATCGTCAACAACGGATAGCTCCTGAAAATTAAGAAATGTTTATACATATCTATGTGTGTATGGTCAAAGTATAGAGTCGTGAATTGAAAATTTTAAAATCGCCTGAAAATCAAGAAACGTCGCCGGAAAATCAAGAAACGTTGCCGGAAAATCAAGAAACATTCTCCCGTGGCGAGATTGGTCACCGTGGAAGAGGTTAGGGACACGATAAAGATGATTGCGCACTGCATGAGGAAGAATATGACTCGGGAAGCTGTGGTAGAATTTGGGGTTGAGAATGGGGAAGAACAAAAGGTTATACGATACCTGTGGGACCTATTGAGAGAAGACAACACAGAGTATTTCCGCCAGTGTGAGGCAGCGGCGGAAAGAAAGGGCGGCGGTAGTCCTCGGGTGGCCCGGATCCGGACACAGTTGGTACCCTTCACCATATGACAAACATGTTTCTTTATCCAAAATTCCGGAGTATTCACGGCGGCAGGTGTTGCCCCCCCCCCCCTCCCCCACAGACATCCAAAGCTCTTTGGATTTCACCGGAGAAGTTGTCGGGAATGTTCTCTATAACACTGATCTTGATGACCTAGCAGTGGCTCTGGGCAACTATCTCTATTTGAATTACCGGCAGCATGAACTACAACTAGAAAGGGTACGTATATAGCTAGCTTTGATTATTCCATCTACGACATCTAAGTATTGGATTATTGGTTTGTAATTTTCTGTTGTGATTTTTGGGTGGCAAGATTTGATTTTTATTCGGTCAATTCAAACTGTGTGTTTTTTTAAAAATTGTGTCCATCATCCATCAATCTTCAGTTCTTCTTCTGGCCTCGCAGGATCGTGATAACCCTTTTGTGGGCTGTCTACTGCCTACAAACCGGGTGAGGAGATTCTGTTTTTGCCAGTGGTGAGGGTGCCTATCAAAGAGGATGAAGCGACCGTCTTTAGCCCGGTTTTGAGGGGTAGTAGAAACAGGTCGGGGACCCCTGCTGATGATCCCACCATGGTGTTCCCTACCCCACCACACAAAGGCCGCAAGCACCTTCTTCCAATTTACCTTGAAACCACCAAATTATATTGTAGGGATTTGAAATCCATTGTTCGTCACCTCACGGAGGTGTTGAATGCCGAGAACATTATTGGTAGCTGTGATGGTGATGAAAATGATGATTATAGTGATGAAGATGAAGATGAGGATGGTTATAAATATGAAGATGGTGATGACGATGAAGATGATGATGGTTATGAAGATGAAGATGGTGATGAAGATGATGACGGTTCTGAAGATGAAGATGGTGATGGTTATGGTTATGAAGATGATGATGATTCTGAAGATGAAGACGGTGATGGTTATGAAGATGACCATCATCTTCATCACCATCTTCAGAACCATCACCATCTTCATCTCCATCTTCATAACCATCACCATCTTCATCTTCATAACCATCACCATCTTCATCTTCATCACCATCTTCATCTTCATAACCATCTTCATCTTCATCACCATCTTCATATTCATAACCATTTTCATCCTCATCACCATCTTCATCTTCATAACCATCTTCATCTTCATCCCCATAACCATCATCTGCATCACCATCACAGGTACCAATAATACTCTCGACATTCAACACCTCTGTGAGGTAACGAGCAAGGGGTCCCAAATCCCTACAATATAATTTGGTGGTTTCAAGGTAAATTGGAAAAAGGTGCTTACGGCTTTTGTGTGGTGGGGTATGGATGAACACCATGGGGGGATCATCAGCAGGGGTCCCCGACCTGTTTCTGCTACCCCTCAAAATCGGGCTAAAGACGGTTGCTTCATCTTCTCCGATGGGTACCCTCACCACCGACAAAAATAAAACCTCCTCACCCAGTTCCGTAGGTAGTAGACAACCCACAAAAGGGTTATTAGTTATCACGATCCTGAGAGGCCAGAAGAAAAGCTGAAGATTGATGGATGATGGACACAATTTAAAAAAAACACAGTTTGAGTTGACCGAATAAAAATCAAATCTTGCCACCCAAAATCACAGCAGAAAGTTGCAAACCAATAATTCAATACTGAGATGTCGTAGATGGAATAATCAAAGCTAGCCATATACGTACCCTTTCCAGTTGTAGTTCATGCTGCCGGTGAGGATTTTAGTAATCGTTTTCGGACGAGTCGTCCACTCTTTTTACGCGTACTCGCCGATGTTGAACGTGAGGTGCCTTAGTTTACCCAACGCTTTGATGCGAGAGGCTAACGCGGGTTTAGTAGTGTCCAGAAGTGCACTGTCGTGCTTCATCAGATGGTGTACGGAACGACATCTGGTATGTTCGACAAATACTTGAAGATGTCGGCTCGGAGCATTAGATCCTGTGTTTATAAATTTTCTAAAAGTAGTATTCAAATTTTTCATAAAAGATATTTATGCAAGCCTACAGCGAGCAACATTCAGCAGTTACAGGCAAGACATGCCGCTAAACACGTCTTTGTCAGCATGCTTGGGAGCATTGATTGCACACATTGGGAATGAGAAAATTGTCCCACTTCGTGGCATGGTCAATTCTCCCGGGGGATCATCCCAAGCCTACTATCATGCTAAAATCTATTACTTCAATGACTTGTGGTTTTGACACATTTTTTTGGTGTTGCAGGCTCGAACAACGACATCAACGTTCTTGATTGATCGCTTGTTTTTGACAATTGGATTAATGAGACCGCACCCGACTCGTCTTTTGAGCTTAGAGGGGCGCTTTACAAGCGTGAATATTATTTGGTCGATTAAATATATCTAAATTATTCCACGATTGTCAAGTCTCTCTCCGAACCAATGGGTTTAAATGCCAGACCTACAAAAGAACTCACATATGCATGTATTATTCTTCATACTCCGTAATATGATCGTAGAGGACAACGAGTTTGCAATTTGTCAATACAACCCGAACGAGGAGGTGCTTTTGTATGAAAAAATCGATGAAAAAAAGAAACGAAGAAACCACCAAGAAATTCGAAGTCGAGAGATTCACAATGCACTAAAGGCGGATTTGATCGAACATATCTTTAGTTGCTCGAATAATTAATAATTTGTTTGTAGTGTTGTTTTTTTTATGGATACAATATTTTTTTTAATGAATGTAACTTTTTTTATGAATGTTTTTTTTTATGAATGTAATTTTTTTTAATGAATGTAACTTTTTATGCACTATTCTCCTTTCAATTATTTTAAGTAATATATTTAAAATTTATTATTTTAAATTTAGAAGATGTATATTTAAAAATGTAAAAGCTGAGGTAAGTTAAAGCTGACGTGGCAGAGAAAGAAATTTTGAAGCCCTTAGTGCATTGTGAAAATCGTAATGACAACTAACGCAATAGTATTATAAGAAAACGAATAAATGACAAATTTTAAATATCATAGCAAATCATTCAATGTGTTCATATCAATTCGTCCAAACAAACGGTTTCTAAAATCTTAAATCTCTTTCGGTTACTAAAATCTCCTCTTTCGGAGACTATTCTCACACCTACCCGTCACCACGCCCACACCGAATAAATATTAATACCCCCAAGGTAATATACTATACCATATATGAAAAAGAAAGAAGTGAAAGTATATATATTTATCAAACTCCAAAGCCAACAACATAAAATATACGGAGTAGCAGAGCTCAGTTATGACACATAAACATATGTATTACACATAGTAGTAGAACCCAACCTAAATGCAAATTTTGGGGGGGGGGGGGGGNCTGAGATGATATGACAAATACTGTGAGGAGACTTCAAAAAGACATGCATGCCAGTTATATTGTTGATTAAGGAAAAAGGTTATATTTGTCCATTTCACAAGCAGTTTAATTTTTAAAAGGGAAAAAGGGTAAAAGAGAGAGCTCACCAAGCAACCAAACCTTGTACTTGGTATTAGTTAATCATGCTCTATATCCCAAGCAGTTGAAAAGAATTGGGACCAACAAGGAATACACGCCTTGAGGTTTGGTAGCGGAAAACCACGACCCCCTTATATGCCGTCCTTGGAACACCATCCTGGTGAAATTACATCCACCCACAAAGCAGTCAAATTCGTGAAAAATATATTGGCTCATGCATAGTTTTCAGAACCGGACTGGTCAAGGGACTGGTTCACTTGTTCACTAGTCGAACCAGTGGTTCAGGTGACGAACAAGTAGCTTAAACATATTTAAATTTTATATATATTCCTCAACAATTTTTTAATAAAAAATCAAAGTAAAACAAAGCCATACACAGATGTTTTTTTACCTTCCATTCTTCAAATATGCCAAACTGGCGTGCAATCTCTTCAAAATGTAGCTGATCTCTATACTGAATACACACATCGCCACTCATACTATTTGCTTTCAGAGCAACATCGGCTCCATGTATCAGTTCAGCTTTTTTAACCATTTCAGCAAAATGCTTCAGATATTTGTCCTGAGGAAAACGTTCAGTTTTTTTTCTATGGTAAGGAAATAACACTGAAAACTTGGTTATGTTTTTTTAAAGTTAAGCCCTTCAGTTCTCACCTCCATGAGGTAGCTCAAATCCATTGACTTCCAGTCAACCTTGCAATAAAAAATCAAATACGAATGTTAACACAGATGGAAGAAATCACAATGACAAAATACTGGGAGCAGGTGCCGACATGCCTGGACATCATTCAGCTTAATTGGTGCAAGATATTGATTGAAAAATTGCCCCAAGCTAGAACCCTGCAAAATAACCAACATGCGTGTGCACGCAAAAGTCCAAGACAAATGTAAGGATAATGGTTAGTGTGATCTAGAAGTGTATAACTATAGGTTCTCGATCTAATTATAAACCAAACCAAGCACACCCAATGTGTCCAGAAGTTGGATTTGTGGAGGTTGAGATCTACGCAAACCTTACATCTACCACTAAGAATAGAGGGGGTATTTCTGTGAAGACCCTCGTCAAATGGAAAATTTGGGATATTTTTGGAAGATGTAAAAAGTTTGAAAACATAATTAGGATAATTCATTATGCTCCGCCCACCGTAAACATTAATCTTATCAACTCAAGTGGCAGTGTTTCCTCATGAAACCTTCAAACCTTGACAGACAAATGTTCTTTTACACCTTCTATCCATGTCATTTTAAGTCTACCAAAACTCCTCAAGTACATAGCATTTCAGACTCCCTCTCTTTGTACTAGGGAATTAGGTCACATGCCTCTTGAATCTTGATGCCAAATGTGTGCGAACCAACACTGTCAACTCTGCCTTTCCTAAAGTTCCCTCTTGATACAGCAACTTACTATAGAAAGCTTGATTGTGTTTGTAGAACCTTAAAGTTAGAGAATACCTGGTGGGAAATATAGAAAATTGCTACTATAGACTTACATGCTCCCCAAAATTGTATGTTCTGCAAATTTCCGGGCGGACAAATTGACGACCTTTGTGGTTCTCTTTCAGTCTTAACCAATCATCCCAATAAGTGAAAATTAGGTTAAAGAAAAATGCTCGAGGATTCAAAAGAAAACATAGTTCATTAATTTTTCAATAAATAAATGCTTCATCCCGAAAAGGATATGCCTTTGGCCATTTGGGAGATAATTCATCCCATGTAGACTTTGACAGCATCCACCCAAGACCAGGGAAAAAGTCTGAACGGAGAAGTGCATCTGCAGGGAATATTGTGGACATGCCAGTTAATACGGAAAATAGCAGGATAATCTTTCAGTTACAATAGTAAGGACATTTAGGAATGTTCTGTCGATGAAAACCATATTCTGAACATGATGGCACTGGTTTCAAGTCATAAGCATATGGAACTGGTTAATTGAATTGTTTTAAAGAGTCCAACAGGGGCAACATACAGAACTGAACACCTCAAAAACCATATACCAGCCAACATATGAGATGTTTTTACTTGAAATGGATGGGATAAGGAATTGCAGTCAAAACATATAAATAGACTTTTTACTTGGAACTTGAGAGAAAGGCCACGGGAACACTCAAACACAAAGGAGATCATATATGAGAGGTTGCCACAGTTGATGAAAATGCCCAGAATATGGCAAAGAAACATATTTGATGAGGAAAATAACTACACAAGTAAAAGATAACAATGAAAAGATCAGTAAATTCAAATTTGCATATGCGTAGTAACATGCGAAGACAAACCCTGGTCGTATGAAACTGAAGAAAGGAATAATGTAGTGCCAAAGTAAGATATGACTCAACTTCCAAGAAGGGGAAAAATGCTTACAAGGATCTTTAACAAACTGTTTTTGCCCGTTGTCATTCCATGAAGAAATAGCCATAATTGACCTAAAACACCGCAGTAAGTGAAAGTGCAGAACCACATTGAGAATCTTAATTCTATTAATGAATGCTCAACATGATACTGACTTGAAAGCATGAACAATGTCCTACTTGTCGCTGTCAAGAAGAATGGCACCAGCCTCAAAATAGTCAAAAAAGTCAATGGCAATTTCCATATCATCTGCATACCATGGACATGTGTATACAGTACATGTAAGCGCAAAGAAATGTCACAGACTATGTAAGACATTCCATAGCAACTAGTATCACTCCCGTGCATTGCACGGCTAACATTTCAAATATGAAATTATTTAATTACATTAATACTGAAAAAAAGTACAATCAACAACAAATACCTTATTAAATCAAAATATAAAACTTAAAGATATTATAAGTTTGAAAAACTTTTTTTGTGAACTACATTACTATCCCTATTTAAAAAACCCACATTAGAAATATAACTAATGAGTACAAAATGAAATTTACGGAGTATTTAGTAAATAATGAAATAACAATATGTATAAATCACTTACACAAATACAAATATATGTAATTAAAGAATGTAAATTTCAAACTAAAAATTTGTGTTAAATTGATAATATTATAAATCAAATAGATTACAAAATACCAATTTGAACAATTACATTGTGTTAGAAATTAGAAACAAATACGTTGAAAAAACAAATGCAAAATATCAACTTGTATTGATTGCATTTAAAAATTGTTGTAGTCATTTAAAATTTGGATCATTTTATGATTTACAAATAATCTTTAAAGTTGAATCATGCATTATATTCTTTCTATCTAAATAATTGTGATAATCCTACGTATGAAATGAATTTTAAATTTTGAGTACAAAACTATTTTTTAACTTGGATAGAAAGTAAAAATTAATAGATGATAGTAATATTTATACACGCAAGAAGGGATTTGAAAAGAAAATAGACGTGCAAAGATTTTCATTATTAAAAAATAATATTATGTACCGTAATTAATAATAAATGTACACTAAAAACAATACACTCTTTGTCTTGAAAACATTTCAGCCCTAATTTTTTGCACACCCCATAAAATACTTTAGAAATTACCTTAAATAGGGCTGAAACATTAAGAAAAGTACCAAAATATGACTTTTATGTTTTTATTTCCAAAATAGGACTTCGCACTATGGTAATGTGGCATTGTACATGTGCACACCACTATACTTTTTGGTAATGTACATGAACATGTTTGGTAATGTAAATGTATTTTAACTCCTATTTCGGAAATAAAAATATGAAAGCCCTATTTTGGTATATTTTCAATGTTTTACTCTTACTTTTGTCTTTTTCCCAAAATACTTTTACTTCCACCTAAAATGTCTAAAATACATCACGTTATATAGTTTATTACGGGTAGAAGTTATTTTGAAGGTATTTTAGACAATTTATGTAGAGTAAAATTATATCTGGGGTGCACAAAAAAGTAGGACGGAAGTGTTTACAAGATCGGAGGGAATAATACTTTTTTGGGCATGTATGTATTAGGTTAGGCATGGTTATAAAAACATTGATTTAAAAATGGTAAGCATTTAGATATCCTTGAATATTTCCATTAATTAAATGCTGACTTACTTTAAACATGATAAGCAAGAATATGATTTGCTAATGATAAATACTATACGTGCTTTGTGCTTTAAACATGTAAATGTTGACTTACTTCCAAAAATGAAATTAATCACAATTATATATAGAAATGTTAATTTATTTCCAAAAATTAAACTCAGCCATTGATCAAGATGGATAGGCTAATCTACGGTTCACAACTTGGGCGGGAAAACAGCTCGGCCAACTTCCCTTGCTTTTAAGAATAGAATTGATTATACCTTCCAGTATGATAACACGGCTAAAATTATGCTTGTAAAAGAGCTGATCCAATGCCCACTTGTAATGACCTAGGCAGACACCGGTAATTTAGTAACTAATACATTTGAGTAGGGGGTTGGGGACATTATTTGCAATAAGAATGACTAAACCCCTTACGTGCAATCTTGTAATATGCAATAATTTCTCCAGGTCTTTCTGTGTGTACAGGTTCATAATCCAAGTGCTGTGTCAAAAAAAATTGTGAGATCGTTCATTCCTTTTGATAGCAATGGCAGTGATAATCTTTGAGCTGGGAAATGAAATGCAAATATGCAATCCAATACACAGGGAAACATAAAAGTAAACTTATGGTGTAGCTGGCTAGTGTGCTATCAAAATGACTGTTCCTTTATTGCAATGGAGCTAAAAAATTCATTATTGACAATGTTTTAGTTTGGGCACACAATGGGATAAATAAAATGACTCATTAAACTTCCTTTGCTTCTTACTTTCTATGAAGTTTTGGCGAGTAAATGCAACAATGCATTTAGGGCCTAACAAAAATGGGATATCTTTTACTGGGGTTTTGTTGTTATTGTCACTATCACATGATCAAAATCATATCCTCTTTCTTTGCCTTTTTTAATCATTTGTTAAATTAAAACAGTTAAGCCACCACAAGTTTTATAGAGCTTCTGATGTAGTTTTAAAATATACAAATTTTAATTTTACACCAATAATTAAATACTCCGTAATATTGAAAGTAAGTTAAGTCAATGCATCGTAAGCCAAAACGGGAGAAATAAAAAGGGACAGAGGGAGTTATAATACCATACTCAACTCAGCTGAATAGACTAACTCCCTTTTTCAGAAGCCCCCCCCCCCCCAAAAAAAAAAAATCCCCC